CGGGGTGTGTGTGTGTGTGTGTGTGGATGTGTGTGTGTGTGTGTGTGTGTGTGTGTGTGTGTGTGTGTGTGTGTGTGTGTGTGTGTGTGTTTCTCCCCATCAGATTTTTCTGTGTGCTGTTTCAGATTCCGTTGCCCGACGGTTCGTCTTACTTCCACGTCTGGTGTCGGATCTTCTGCCAACATTTCCACGGAACTGCTCAAAAACTGGTAAGCTACCGGGCTGTTTGTGTTTGCCAAAACTTCAGTTGCCTGTTTGTCTCCTTGAGATGTCTTCCGCTCTCATAGTGGAGGGAAAATGTACGAGGAAAATCTCACGTTTCTTTTTCCATTTGTTGCCAGTCTTTCCCTCATGTTATTTTTGCCCGTCACAGAACAGATGGGTTTGAATTGCAACAACAACAACAACAAATCAACATTTTTTGGCTTAACATATCTGAGCAGCTGGCCTACGATCTGTGCCTTCACCGGTGCTGTATATGTCCTGTCGCGCGTAGTAAATGTATGTAGTATGTTACCGGCCATAAAGTCACATGTCCTGTCGCACATAGTAAATGCATGTGGTATGCCAGCCATAATATAGTCATATCTAATGACGTGTGTAGTAAATGTATGTGGTGTGCCAGCCATATAGTCACATGTACTGACGTATGTAGTAAATGCATGTTGTATCCCACTCGTAAAGTTACATGTACTGACGCGTGTGGTATATTACCCGTATAGTCACATTTACTTATGCATGTAGTAAATGCACGTTGTACGCCAGCCATATAGTCACATGTACTTGTCATGTAGCACAATCACAGTAAACTGCATGGTTTTCTATACTTTTGTACATTTGTCGCAAATGGTTTCTTTGACAAGCAGGCCCTGACTTTTAGAAAAGGAAGAAGCCAAAATGTGTGTACATTTAGATATTTCTGAGTAAACTTTACACCGCCTGCCACTTCCATATCTAGAATGATGAAAGCTTGCATCGATTTTTATGGTTGAAATTCTGCACTTTTGAGGGGGGGGGGGGATTTTATTATGTAAGTGATTGAAATTGTCTCTTTCTTTTGCTCTGATTATACTATCTTGTATTTCCAAGACCCATTGCTGTGAACATTTTGAAATAGTTTTTAAAAAATACCTTATGTATAAATTGACGGTAATTTCTTTGCGACACCAATACCAAGATGCTATGTGTACCCAGTATCACGTAATCTTGCACCTCTTTAGTTTGGGAAAAGCTAGCAGATCGTGTGTGGGTTGTAGAGGTTTACGACTCGACGGGCCACGCTTACACGTGTTACAGATGTTGTTGTGAGTCGTCTTTGTGGGTCAGCGTGGTGAAATCAGCCGCTCCTCAAAAATACATATATTTTTCAGCCCGTTGAACAATTTTTACAGAAATTTTCCTTTTTTTTTGGCTCAACTTTTTTCAAATGTTTATTTAAAAACACTTTTCAGTGTGGATTTTACTGGAAGATGTTGATCAAAGGCACAAAAATTGTAAACTCACAATTTCAAGCTATGGAAGTCACCAAACTTTGGCAGCCATTAACTGGCTAATTGTACCTCTGACACCAGCCAACCCCCACCTCCTCCAATTGCAAATATTATATCTACTTCTGTTCAAGATAGATGGGTATTTTTTTTTCATCAAAAGCAAGACAAATGAACAAGCTTTAAGATGATCTCATACCAATAAACCATGTGCTTGAAAACTGAGGAGAGCCTGATTCCACCGTGTCTTGACACATTTTATGCTTGTGTGTATTCGGTATCACATAGTCATGTACCTCTTAAATTTGGGCTAAGCTAGCAGATCGTGACGTGTGGGTTGTGAAAGTTTACGAACCCATGGGCCACACGCACATGCCGGTAGTCGTGGTCTATGAGTTTGCTGAGGTAGTAATGTACTGTGTACCAGCGGGTCACACTCCCACATGTCGTGGTCTATGAGATGAGCTTGCTGAGGTAGTAATGTACTGTGTACCAGCGGGTCACACTCCCACATGTCGTGGTCTATGAGATGAGCTTGCTGAGGTAGTAATGTACTGTGTACCAGCGGGTCACACTCCCACATGTCGTGGTCTATGAGATGAGCTTGCTGAGGTAGTAATGTACTGTG